GTTTGGTGGTTAAATGCCAAACAGGCATTGTAGTTAAAATTATGCTTGTTAAAAGAATATGTTCCATTCTGTAATGTTCGGATACAAAATTAATTCTAGAAGAGTCTGCCTGGGGAAATGTTATATTTTTCACTACCATTCAAATATAGATATTGAATATGAAATGTATTCAACCTTCATTTTGTGTCCTGAGGTTTTATATATTTATTAAAATGTGGTTCTTTTTTTCTTAAGTCATTTTGTTTTCTGGGTCTAGAACTCATCTTTTTATGACTTTTAAATGTAAACAGTAATTCTTAAATCAGTACGTGTTGCCATGTTCTATTAGCAAATATTGTAAGACTTTTTAAAGATCAGCTCTTCTTTTGAGCTGAGAAGTCTGTTATATCCTAATTAGCTGGGAGCCTGGGAGTGGTCACCTCATTGAGAAACCAGATATAACTACACACACACCACACACCACACACCCACGCGCGCACACACACACACCACACACACACCACACACACCACACACACACACCCCACACACACCCCACACATCCCCCTACACACACCACACATACACCACACACACACCCCCACACACACACCACACACACACCACACATACACCACACACACATACACATACACCACATACCTCCCCACACCACACATACACACACACACCCCACACACCCACCACACACACCACACACACCACACACACACCACACACCCACACACACACACCACACACCCACACACACACCTCCCCACACCACACACCCCCACACACACACCCACACACACCCACACACACACCCACGCACACACACACACACCCCACACATCCCCCTACACACACCACACATACACACCACACACACACACCACACACACACCAACACACATACACACACACCACATACCTCCCACACCACACATGCACACACACACACCCCACACACCCACCACACCACACACACACACCACACACCCACACACACACCTCCCCACACCACACACACCCCCCACACACACCACACACACACCACCCACCACACACCCCCACACACCCCCCACACACACCACACCCACACCACACACACACACACCCCACACCACACACCCACCACACACGACACACACACCACACACCACGCACCCACACACATCACACACACACACCTCCCCACCACACACACACACACACCACACCACACACCCACACACACCACACACACACACCACACACCCACCACACACCACACACACCACACACACACCTCCCCGCACCACACACACACACCCCACACACACACACACCACACACACCACACACCCACCACACACCACACACCACACACACCACACACACACCTCTCCGCACCACACACACACACCCCACACACACACACACCACACACACACACACCACACACCCACACACCACACACCCACCACACACCACACACACCCCACGCACCACACACACACACCACACACACCCACACCCCACACACCACACACCACACACACACACACACCTCCCTTACCACCACACACCTCCCGCACCACACACACACACACACCATACACACCACACACACACACACACACCACACACACTCACACACCACACACACACCCCACACACACACCCACACACACACCCCCACACACACACACCACACACACACACCACGCACACACACACCCACACCACACACCCCCACACCCCACACACACACCCACCCACACACACACACCACACACACCACACACACACCACACACACACCCACACACCCACACACACACCACACACACACCCACACACACACACCCCACACACCCACCCACACACACACACCACACACACCCACACACCACACACACGCCCCACGCACCCACACACCACACACACACACACACACACACCCCACACACACCCCCCACACACACACCCACACACACACACCACACACCCACACACACCCCACACACCCACCCACACACACACACCACACACACCCACACACACACCACACACGCCCCAGCAGCACCCACACACACCACATACACCCCACACACACACCATACACACCAACACACACACACACCACACGCCCACACATCACCTGCACACACACGCCCACACCACACCACCACCACACCACCTGCACACCACCACCACCCACCACACCACCTGCCTGCGACACATACACACACACCACCCAAAATAACCTAAAAACTACACCCAAAATAACCTAAAAAACTAGAAGATACAGAAAACAAAAACATAAAATATAAAAATATTAAAAATATAAAAATACAGGTATATTTAGGTATTAAATTTTTTAAAAAATATGAATCATGTATGTAGGATATAGTATCTTAGGAGAACAGGCGTAAGGTCAGTATGACTGAATTTTCTGTCTTTGAGGAAGTTACTGAATCTCTCTGAGACTCCGTTTCCTCCTGTGTAAATGGAGATGATAATCCCTCCTATTTAGATTTGATATGAGAGTGAAGTTAGATAATGGCTGTGAAATACATATGTACTACGATTTGGATATAAGCAAGCCTTATGACATGTTGCCTCTTCTTGGTTTTTGGGAGGGTAGGGCAGTTGTACCTTTCTTTGGCTGTCAGCTAGGTACAGAAAATTGTGGGTGGCCTAGTGGGTCAGATGCTGGACTAGTGGGTCGAGATGCAGGTGATGGTGCTGAGAAGACACACCCAGAATTGCCTGTGTTCCTGCAGCAAGCAAACTGTGATTGCGACCCGCAAGTGACTATTCATGCTGTACTTTCTGGTTGTCTGTTAAACCCGCCTGGGAAAATCAGTTGTAAGTCTTCCTTAGACACCTCTACAAAGTGTGCATGTATTCCTCCTTATATTTCTTTGGTTTTGTTCATTTTGTTTTTTGAGACGTAGTCTCACTCTCTGGTCTGGTCTGGAGTACGGTGGCGCCATCTCGGCTCACTGCAACCTCCGGCTCCCAGGTTCAGGTGGTTCTTCTCCCTCAGCCTCTCGAGTGTGCAGCACCACACCTGGCTAATTTTTTTGAGACCAGGCTGGTCTCAAACTCCCTACCTCAGGTGATCCACCCGCCTTGGCCTCCCAAAGTGCTGAGATTACAGGTGTGAGCTACCACACCTGGTCCTCTCCTTATATTTCTGTAGCACTCTGTACTTTTATGTAAGACAGTGAACTTTGGAGGCCTCAGAGCATGTGTAATGTGAATCTGCATGCCCCTCACTGTTCGATCCTTCTCAAGAAGCAAGCGTTGTGGTTTCAGAGTAGGTAGGGACTAACTTGAGTTGCACTCATATTTCCCGAAGCCATGATATCACATTTCCTAGTAAAGATGAATACTGAAATGAGCATCATCCAGTGTCTTGGGTTTTTATGCTTCTTGCTTTTGTTTTTGTATTCCACCTTTTAGACCAGGGTAATTTCCAAAGATAACGTCACCTTGCTGGGTGAGGTGATGGGTAAGTGAACATTCACAGACCCGTTAACACAGTGCCTTGCATCCAGAAACAACTCATAAATGTCATTTGCTATTGTTATCATCACGTGCCTCTGAAATAGACATTTGAAATACTCTCCTAATGGCGGAAAAATTAATGCCTATCTAAGTGTTAAAGCTAAAAAAAAAAAAAAAGCACTGTTAGACATTTTAAGTTGTTTTATTGTTATCAAACCTCTTCCTCAATGCTACTAAACATAAGATAAATAGAAGGCAAAAATTTCTGACAATACAAATTTCAATATATTGTAATTTTAAAAGTCTCAGATCTTTTAAAACATGTAAAAATTTTATTACATTTCTTTTATCTGTTCTTTATTGGGCATGTTAATGAACTCTAATTTCTTATGTAAGTGTGTTTGGAGGAAAAATTAAAGACAAATTCAAGGATTGTATCTTGATGAATAAAAAGCTAGCCATATGCTGGGGACAAGCTAAAATGTAGCGGCTGATGATGCATGCTCCCCGGCTCTGTGACTGCTGCTGTGTGTTCTTGATCAAGTTACTTTTTTCTCCCTGTGCCTCAGTGTCTCCATCTGTAAAATGGTGTAGTAATACTACTTCATAGGGATATCGTGCGATTTCAGCAAGTTGATACATGTGTATTTAATATACAGCCAGATACACAATCAGCATTCAGTAAATATTAGCAAAGGATAGATTCCAAGAGAGACGACTCCCCACTTCCAAAGGTGAAGATTTAAATTACTTCCTTTTTTCTGAGCTCTGAATTTGCAATTAGTCACTTCCTTATCCCGTGCATAGCTGAGGCTTCTGGGTTCCTTGTCTGTGATGCCTGCTTGCTCATTGCCCTGATAACGTCAACTGACTCATGGTAGTTTGGGATTTAAATTCTACTCTGAATCTCACTTTTCTCATCCGTTAAATAGGGAAAGTAATAACGCCTGACTCATGGGGCTGGTGAGTGTATCAAAAGAACTAATGGGGGCCTGCTGTGGTGGCTCAAGCTTGTAATCCCAGCACTTTGGGAGGTGGAGGTGGGCAAATCACTTGAGACAAGGAGTTCGAGACCAGCCTGACCAATATGGTGAAACCCCCATCTCTACTAAAAATACAAAAATTAGTCGGGCGTGGTGGCAGGCACCTGTAGTCCCAGCTACTCAGGAAACTGAGGCAGGAGAATCACTTGAACATGGGAGCGGGAGGCTGCAGTGAGAGGAGATGGCACCACTGCACTCCAACCTGGGTGACAGAGCTACTCCATCTCAAAAAAAAGAAAAAACAAACAAACAAAAACTAAGGGATAAGTTCCTATCATAGTGTTTGGCACATGGCAGGCATGTAATAGATATCATCAGGACCACCTATACTTTTGTTATTCCTTTGAATGGAAAAGCAGTCCCTGGTACTACAGTAAGTTTTTTGGGGAAAGGAGTGTAATCCTAACAACAACTCTTGAAAGCATTTTTGAAAAGAATACATGATCAGGAAAACCTGCATCTATTTCTGCTGTTTTAGACATTGCTACAAGTGGTTGGTGTGGTCTCTGTGGCTGTGGCTGTGATTCCTTGGATCGCAATACCCTTGGTTCCCCTTGGAATCGTTTTCATTTTTCTTCGGCGATATTTTTTGGAAACATCAAGAGATGTGAAGCGCCTGGAATCTACAAGTGAGTATGGAAACTCGGGTTGGTATAGACATGCTAGCTAACTTCCGTTTATGCCATAATTACGGAGACCCCCTGAAATTCGGCAGACTCTGTCTTCCAGAATTTCTCTAACGTTAGGTAATCAAACATATTGGCCATCGTGAATTATTGTGTCCCTTAGAGCATATGGAATTGATAGCATGCAACGTGCAACTTCGCAATTTGGAACAAGGAAGAAGTGAAGGACATATGAGGAATAATATTCTACAGGAATGTCAGCACCATGAAGACAGGGACTCTTCATGTCTTGTTTATGACATACTTCCTTACACAAAGCTGGCATTTAATGAAACATTTTTCTTAGAAATAAAACATTTGATCATGGTGCAACTAATATAGAAGGAATATAATTAGGGTGTTTTTCTTTCCCTGAAGATGCTAAAATGACAAGGAAATGAGAAGGATGGAGAAAGGAAAAGAGGTATCAGAAGCAATGTATTTGGTAAATTTATGACTTTTGCAAACTCACAAAATGACTAGTAAGTTGCAGTTTTAAACGTTTTGAAAAGATAAGCATTGTTATTTTCAGTTGTCCATTTGTTACCAGCGGTGCTTGTTCTAATGTCACGGTTTGAGGTTTTTCCCCCTCAGGCTGTTTATATATATATGGACACTGAAAATAATCCCCTTAGATCACAAGGAGAGATATCAGTTTAGAAAACATATAGTCTGTTGCTCTATTCAACTTCCTAGTTTTGGAATCATGAGGAAGACATTTTATGATTAATCACTCTGTTCCACATGTAATCACAGGGGCGAAATAATCCAGAGTTCATCTCATTATGCATGCACAAAGTAACATATTTCATCATTGTTAAAACACAAACTCATAAGAAAAGTAGAATTGCTCTACTTTTTAATAAAAGGTATAAGGATAATGGCCAAAAAGTAAAGAAGGAAGATATTTGTATCAGGAAAGCTCCACTGTGGATAGTTCCTGCAAATGAATGCCAACTCAGCTCTCTGGAAGCCACGCCCAGAAGAGAAACAGTGAGTCCCATCATTTTCAGTATCTTCTACTGAGTGGGAAATAGAAGCTTATCAGGACAAAGCAGTCTTTCGTTGTGACGTATATATGTTTCTCTTTTAACTTTTTTTTTTTCTTTTTTTTTTTTTTTGAGATGGAGTCTTGCTGTCACCCAGGCTGGAGTGCAATGGCGCAATCTCGGCTCACTGCAACCTCCGCCTCCTGGGTTCAAGCATTTCTCATGTCTCAGCCTCCCAAGTAGCTGGGATTACAGGTGTGCACCACCACACCCCACTATTTTTCTATTTTTAGTAGAGATGGGGTTCCACCATGTTGGCCAGGCTGGTCTTTAACTTGTGGCCTCAAGTGATCCGCCCGCCTCAGCTTCCCAAAGTGCTGGAACTGCAGGCATGTACCACTGCACCTGGCCAACAGTGAACTCTTAAGAGGCATTTATCCTAAGTGTCTGCATGAAGTAGAATGGGTAACAGTCCATAAAAGTTGTAGAAAAACTTTTCAGTCGTCAAGAAAACCAGCTAAGCTACCATGAGGTCTAGTCTTGTAAGGTTTTCAGTGGGCAGGCCGAGCAGTGGAGCCCACGTGTGAGTGACACTCGGCCAATAGGACTTGCTAGGGAAGGCAGAGTATAATTGCTGAGAGACCTTCCTCGTGCAGATCACCGGCCCTAGCCAGTGTTGTGTGTGGACAGCAAGGCTGTGCAGGCATTTTATGTTGATGTTTGGGCCTGCTCATGGAATGAAGTTATCCGAGAGTCTTGTTTTAAGGGAGTCTGTGGTATGTTGAAGGAAGCCGTTGTTCCAGAAGAAACATCTTGACGTAGACGTCTGTCTGTGTCAAGAGCCACATCCGATCCATGTGGATGTGCAGAAAAGGGGACTTAGGAAGGCTTTTTGGGAAGTGGTGTAGGATTTTCTCTCTTGAATTTCAGCATGTACCCTAAAGCTTGAAAACATTTTCATGTGGAGATTCTGACAACTTTATCATGGCCCCTGAGGCATATTTGGGTGTTCCTGTGCCCCGCTTGGCTGTAACAATGAGTTAAATATGCATGTTTCTTTCTCCATGCCCTCAGATCACCAACTGTGGGGGCTGGTTGGTTGGAACTGTTTATTGTTATCCATCCAGGGTGGTAGGTCTCTGCCGTAAATCACAATTCCACTGTTTCTTCTCAGCAGCAGTGGATCCTGTTTTTTGAGACCACTGCTGGAGTGACCAGCTGAAAGCAGGATGCCTGATTGCCATGGCAGGGAGGCATAACCCAGCTTCATCCTTGTGCCCTCAAGGATTTCCAAAGCCTCAGTCGGACTGCCTCACTGCCTCTGGAGCCATAGCTGGCATTTAAGGAATCTTAATAACAAATCTGGGCCAGGCGTGGTGGCTCACGCCTGTAGTCCTGGCACTTTGGGAGGCCGAGGCGGGCGGATCACCTGAGGTCAAGAGTTCGAGACCAGCCTGACCAACATGGAGAAAGCCCGTCTCTATTAAAAATACAAAATTAGCCGGGCATGGTAACACATGCCTGTAATCCCAGCTACTCAGGAGGCTGAGGCAGGAGAATCACTTGAACCCGGGAGGCAGAGGTTCGGGTGAGCCAAGATCACACCATTGCACACACTCCAGCCTGGGTAACGAGAATGAAACTAAAAAAAAAACAAACAAAAAACTGCAGTTGATCATTTTATTTTTGTAAAAGTGACCATATCAACAGTCAGTCATAGAGAAGTGCATAAAAACCGGAATGGCATTTGGTCGCATTTCTCCAGCCACCTCCACTCATTTGGCAATGCCTGAAATGTGAAGCCATATCCGATTTCTGTTGGTAAAGATATTGTGATCCGCTAGCAATGTCTGCCATGAGCGTGAACCCATGTGTCCCGTGTTTTTAGACTGTAAGATCCTTGAGTTTGTTCATCCTGGATTCCCGGGGACTTTGTTCAATACAAGGTGGTTAATAAGCAGCACGGGAATAGGGAAGGTAGTTGGATATTAGCTAAGTAAGATTTGGGGATTTTTAAAATGTGGGCTACAAAGTCTGGAGAAAAATGCCCTCAGGGTGCATGAGAATCTTTGACTCTGATTATTCTGTCTCTGAGATATTGTGGCTCAGATTAAAAGCACAGCCTTGGAAATAAAACAGGTAAGAGTCCAATGCCCAATTCTACCACTTGCATGGCTTACTTTACTTTAACCTTGGGCAGTGTTTTTGTTGTTGTTGTTTTCTTGTTTTTGTTTTTTTGAGATGTAGTCTCGCTCTTTCACCCAGGCTGGAGTGCAGTGGCTGTGATCTTAGGCTCACTGCAACTGCCACCTCCCGAATCAAGCAATTTTCCTGTCTCAGCCACCTGAGTAGCTGGGACTACAGGCACATGCCGCCACACCTGGCTAATTTTTGTTTTTTTAGTAGAGACATGGTTTCACCATATTGGTCAGCCTGGTCTCAAACTCCTGACCTCAGATCATCCACCTGCCATGGCCTCCCAAAGTGCTGGGATTAAGTGTAGGCATAAGCCACTGCACCCAGTGTTGGGCAGCGTTGTTGATGCCTCAAGTCTGTTTTTCCCTCTGTCAAGGATATAACACTTTCCCTGTTGGGTTCTTATGAGGGTTGCCTGAGACTGCTTGGAAACCTTGAACATACAGGAACTACCAGAGGCATTATAGCCTTGAGAATTAAAACCATAGTAACCCTCAAAGGTCCCACACAGCATCAGTACCCTGCAGCAAGACTGGTAGACCAGATCTTTGCATGCAATTCCTTTTCATGTTCTTTTTCAGAGAAGACAGAAAATCTCTGTAGAGTGCCTCCTAAAGAGTTCTCTGCATTGTGGAAAACACAGCTGTTGATCTTGTGAAATGGCAGGTTGTGTCAGCCGGAAACTGCTGACTAGTGCATTGGAGCTGAGGCTTGGCACGTGTGCTAGTTACTTGTCTTTGCAGACCTCCCAGCTCACCCTCACACAAAAGAGAATTCACCTTTTAAAATTCTGTAGAGGCCATGAACCCACTGAGACCACAGTCAGATTCTGAAAAAGGCAATGGCATATGCCATAGAGACCTCCAGACATCAGGACAAGTTTTCAGCAGTCATAAAAACATCCATCAGGTTCCTGGAGCCAGTGTTAAGACCATTCAGAGACATCTTGGCTGAGCAGGTTCCTTGGGCACAGCACAAGGGCACTGCAGCACCCAGGTCCATGGAGTTCATAAAGGACTCTTCCAGCATGAGTGAGCACAGAAGATTCCCCAGGATGCAGGGAAGTGACTCTCTGTCTGTTCAGCTTACTTACTGAGTGCCTGTCCTGTGCCAGGTACTGTCCAGTTACCAGGATGCAATGGTTATAGCTGACCCTTGAGAAATTAACAATTTAAGGTGGGAACAGACACATAGGTGGCTAATTGTAATTCAATATGGTGAGTACTTGTAACAGAGAATTGTTTTTAAAAATCCTACTGGCTCAAAAATCAGTGAAATATCATTTCTGCCTAAAGAGATGTCAGGGAAGAGTACGGAGAGAAGGACCTGCAAGACTGAGTTAGGAAGGAAAGAATTATAACTAGATTTGAATGTGGTCAAAGATAGAACATTTATTTCCAGGCCCCTTATATGAGGTGTGGTTTGAGCAGGAGCTTGAGATTAGAGTGGCAGGACCCCCTCAGGCTATTGGGAGCATTTATTTCTCCTTGAAACATGAAGCCTCCAAGGAAGCCTGCGTGTGCTGTTTGGTAGATGCGTGACCATGGAGCTGGGGAGGCCGCTGGTTTCCCTGCATCCAGCCTCACTCAGCGGTGTTCTCTGTCTCTGTTTCCCCAGCTCGGAGCCCGGTGTTTTCCCACTTATCATCTTCTCTCCAGGGCCTCTGGACCATCCGGGCATACAAAGCCGAAGAGAGGTGTCAGGAACTGTTTGATGCACACCAGGATTTACATTCAGGTCTGTCCATTTCTGGAAATGGTTTCAAAGGACAGGATCTGCTGCTTTTTCTGTCTTAACTTCCCTGGTCCGATGAGCTTGTTGGCTGGCACCTCAGGGCCCAGCCCCACATCCTGCTTTTTTGCGCATCCTCCTCTTCCCCGCCGCCCATCCCCTTCTTCTGGGCTTGGACTCCTCTCGGAATCGCTGCTGCCTTTTTCTTCTTTGTGCCTCCTGACTGGCTTGCAGGGTCCTTCTCTCACCATGCATGGCCTGTGGCTCTGTCAGCAAACGTCTTCTGCAAAAGGCCACCTAGTAAATGTTGTAGGCATTGTGTGCCATTATTGTCTTTGTTGCAGTTAACCACCTTTGCTGTTGTAGCACAAAAGCAGACGTCAATACATCAGCAAACAGCTGTGACTGTGTTTCAATAAAACTTTATTTACAAAAATAAGTGCTGGCTCACATGCTGTAGTTTGCTGACCCTTGCATCAGTGAAGATTTTTTCGATTTGGAAATTTCAGAATTTCCACCAAATCTACAAAACTTGGATCCATCATTCTGATCTTTATTTTATCTTGCTGATTAAATGGCACTTTAAAAACCACATGCTAAAAGGAAAAAAGGAGTAACAAACAAACAACAAACAAAAACCACATGCAAATCCTGTTAGTGAGGTCATTTTGATATAGTCCCTAAGCAATAGTGTGCGCGGGCCTTCTGGTAAGTATGGAAGGTGGGAGAAGTAAATTGGGACTACACTCTGCTATTGGAGAACTGGAACAGTCAATCATGTGCGTGGGTGGACTTCACGTGAGATGCACTTCACATAAGTACCTCTCAGCACTGCAAGGGATGTCCTTATGAGACTATTTTTCTCAGTTCTTTATTAGGATCATATTCCTGGGTTTCATATTTGCATGCATCTTCACTCAAAGCCCTTGTATACTGTTGTGTATGTGTATCATATAGTGCCCATATCACTTAGCTTTCTGGAATCTACAGGTTCCTTGGGTGTGCAACTTTGCTGCCCAACTCCATGTAAATATCTTCTGTAGCTCAACTGAGCAAACCCACTCTCGCATCCAATGCAGTTAATACGGTTCTACTTATTCATCATGCTTGTTACCGTTCTCAAATTCAGAGGCTTGGTTCTTGTTTTTGACTACATCCCGCTGGTTCGCCGTCCGTCTGGATGCCATCTGTGCCATGTTTGTCATCGTCGTTGCCTTTGGGTCCCTGATTCTGGCAAAAAGTAAGTACAGATGTGAATAACTATGTATGGTATGATTACAATTTATAGCTGTGTTTACAGTTATTAAATTACACTCTTGCCACCTCGTCTAATACTACATACTGTTTGGTCCTAATGAAGTATATTTAAATCATTTACGGTGTGTCAGGTTGGATAGGATTCAGCAGTGTGACTCGTTTAAGGAGTCGTTTGGGTCTTGAGGGGTTTCTTTTATCTTTCTTTGCATGGGTTGAGGTATGCGCAGTTGAGATTCTGAACATTCCTGTTAGCGTCTGGTAGTTGCGAAGAGAGAACCAATTTATTCTGAAGCATTTTGTCCAGCTTATGGTGTTAGCTTTCCAACTGCTTGTATCTGTTGTTCGTAGTTGCCTGGCGCATGAGGTTGAGAAAAATTCTCAGCAGGAAAGAGTATTATCTTCACTGCCACATGGGTGCCAGACAAGCATGGCATGAGTTCACCACCCCAGTAACAACGGTGCATTACAATACTTATTAATGGAACAAGGAGAGTAGTATTTTAGTCTCAAAAGTGTTGGCACTTACAACCTATTGCTTTGTTTTTAGTGGTTTCCATCTGTGGTTGCATTGCACATAGAAAGTGGAATAATGTAATGGGCTTTGAAACCATAATAATGAATATCTGAATAATGACATTATTTCTTGCATATATAATGCGGTTAATTAAATGTATGTCGATCCTGTTGGAATTCATAAAATCATCTAATAATTTTTCTGAATATGTAATGTTGTTTTCCCCATTGTCTCTTGATCTCAAGCAACAAATGGTAAAAGTATAGCTATAAATGTCATTATATGAGAATTGTTTTGACATTATGAAGGGTTCCTCTTGGTAAGTGGCAGAAGGAGCCAGGCTTAGGTTTGAAGTGAGACTGACTTTATTCCCTTCTTCCTCCTTACGTAGCTCTGGATGCCGGGCAGGTGGGCTTGGCGCTGTCCTACGCCCTCACACTCATGGGGATGTTTCAGTGGTGTGTTCGACAGAGTGCCGAAGTTGAGAATATGGTAATATTTATCTTCACGTTCTTTGCTTTTTCAAGTCTCTTTGCCATGAAAAGGTATAAAAGCCATTCTGATGTGAAATACGAAAACTGTAATTTTTACATCTTTGCTCACAGATTTTTTTAAGATCCTTCCTCCATCTGTTTTAAGTGAATGTAAAATAAAATATATACATCTTTTTCTGAGTCTTATGGTTGCTCTGTCAGCAGGTTTTATATTTATCACAAGCTTTTTCAGATGTAATAAATGTCTCTGTAGGAGGGAGGTTCAGAAATTCTAGAGAGGATATAAGCTAATTTCTTAGAAGCCTGTTTGTTTTTGTTTCTTAATGGGTAATTCCTCATTCCTGGTAAAAGAAGATTTCAGGATTTTGAGGTTGTTTATGTTGAATTAATGGGTCTCCTCCTCTCCCAGTTCCAGTGTTTACTCTCTTATGTGATGAACAGAAGGCAGGCAGGCCTAAGGTTTGCTGGTGTGCCTTCGTGGTACAGAAAGCCACCTCTTGGAAGGTGTTAGTCAAAGGGTATTAGTTTATGGTGGTATAGGAGGCTTTAATCAACGTTTTAAATATTTGCACCTTCCCCTAAAGGGAGAAAAGCAATGAGCCTAAAAATCTTTTCATTCTTCTCATGGAGCAAAAGTTGAGTAATTATTGCAGTGAGGTTTCATGATCATCCAATTTAACCGATCTGTATCAGGTGATCCTTCTATAGCAAAAGATTCTTTAATGGGGGTCGGGGTGAGGGGGCAGAGTTTTGCTCTTCTCGCCCAGGCTGGAGTGCGGTGGTGAGATCTCGGCTCACTGCAACCTCTGCCTCCCGGGTTCAAGTGATTCTCCTGCCTCAGCCTCCCGAGTAGCTGGGATTGCAGGCATGCATCACCACACCCGGCTAATTTTTGTATTTTTAGTAGAAATGGGGTTTCACCATGTTGGCCAGGCTGGTCTCAAACTCCTTACCTTAGGTGATCCACCCACTTCGGCTTCCCAAAGTGCTGAGATTATAGGCGTGAGCCACCGCGCCCAGCCAGCAAAATATTCTTGATTGGTGGCTGTGAGTATTCTTTTCCTTTACAAAATTTTCTTGCCTTTAATACAGATGTGAAAAGTGGATAAATAAAATCTAAGCATTCATTTCTCTCATTCTTTTAACCTGGTATTGAAGGAAGTGGTTGTAAGTGAAGGTGTTACACAGTGATGAACCAAATTTGTAAGTCATCAACATCCTTGTCTGTCTCCTGCTTCTCTCCTTAACCAACTGTGCATGAAAGAACAACATTTCATTGACAGTCTCTTAACATCCATAAATGACACCCTCCATTCCTAACCCCTGGGGATGTCATATTTCTTTCAGATGATCTCAGTAGAAAGAGTGATTGAATACACAGACCTTGAAAAAGAAGCACCTTGGGAATATCAGAAACGGCCACCACCGACCTGGCCCCATGAAGGAGTGATCATCTTTGACAATGTGAACTTCATGTACAGTCTAGATGGGCCTCTGGTACTGAAGCATCTGACAGCACTCATTAAATCACGAGAAAAGGTTTGTTTAAAGCATCTTACCTCTTCTCAATTTCAGAAGATTTAGTGCTTTGTGTGCTTGCTGTCTTCCTTGTGGATGTGTGAAGGGGATTAGTGGTACATAGGTTAACCTGTCTTGGAAACTGACCATGGAATGTGGATACCAACATTCTTTCTTCATGCTGTGAACTGCTTTATTGTGGTTGGTGGGCCCCCGGCCTCAGGGCTGGAGCTTAACGTGACCCAGGATACTCTGTTTGACACCTAATTACTCATGGGTTTTTCCTGGAAGTCAACTCTGGCTTTGTGTCACCAGTACTCCCATGTCTAATTCTGTTGATTTTTACTTTGTTGCATTTCTCAAGTCCTTCTCTTCCTCTCCATTGCTGCAGCTTCTGTTCCAGCCTTTCTCCTCCTCAGTCCTTTGGTCTTGTGTTAGTCTGTTTTCATGCTGCTGATAAAGGTATACCTGGGAGTAGGCAATTTACAGAAGAAAGAGAGATTTAATGGACTTAAAGTTCCACGTGGATGGGGAGGCCTCAGAATCATAATGGCAGGCAGGGAGGAGCAAGTCACATTTTCTATGGATGGCAGTAGGAAAAGAGAGAGTTTGTGCAGGGAAACTTCCCCTTATAAAACCATCAGATCTCATGACACTTACTATCATGAGAACATCACGGGAAAGACCTGCCCCCATGATTCAATTACCTCCCACTGGGTCCCTCCCACAACATGTGGGAATTTAAGATGAGATTTGGGTGGGGACACAGCCAAACCATATCAGGCCCTTTGGTTAGTCTTTCTTGCCTTCCTTTAACCTGTGTTTTGCTTTTCCTCCCCATCCCTCTTACTGCAAACTCTTTCTTTCTGAAACAGTTTGATCACAGATCTGATCTTTACATGGCCAGCTCCTGGCCTGGGTGAGCAGCTGCTGCAACCTTACTGAGCCCCAGGCCCACCCCGACAGGACCTGTGTGGCTCTCAGCCCCCAGGGAAGACCCAGATCCCATGATCCCATCAGTGCTCAGAAATCAGACCCCCAAGCTGGAGGCAGTAAAGGCACCAGAGACTCACTCAAAGTCAGTGAAAGGAAAGCAAGGAGGGGCTTGGGAGGCTGTGTGGAGGTTTGTGAGCTCATTCTGCAGGCACCTAAGTCTGCCAGCAATGTCCCTTTCACATGTGGCCTGGGGCCCTTGGCTAGGACTAGGACAGCCTCTTGAAGGAACTAAACCAGAACAAACAAGACAGCAGAATCTCTTCCCCTTCCCACCCCTCTCCTTACAACTCCCAATATGGACACATAGCCCTTGTCCTCAGGGTGCTGTCCTTCTCCCCAAGCACCTGTCTGCCTTGCTCCTAGTGTGCACCCTTTTTCAGTCCGTTCAGACATCTCTGCCTCTTTGAAACTATGTTCTCCACATCGTCTTATAGATTCTTTTTCTGATACAGAGTCTTGCTCTGTCACCCAGGCTGGAGTGCAATGTCACATTCCCGGCACACTGCGACCTCCGCCTCCCAGGTTCAAGCGATTCTCCTGCCTCAGTCTCCTCAGTAGCTGGGATTACAGGTGTGCACCACGGCACCCAACTCATTTTTGTATTTTTAGTAGAGACCGGGTTTTGCCATGTTGGCCATGGCTGGTCTCGAACTCCTGAGCTAAAGTGATCCAGCCACCTTAGCCTCCCAAATCATGCCTAGGATTTCAGGCATGAGCCACCATGCCTGGCCAGATTCTTTTAATATAACATTTGTGGTCCACCCGTGTTCATAACACCATTATTTGCAGTGAGCAGTAGGTGGAAGCAGCCGAAGTGTCCATTGACCGAGGAATGGAAAAACCAAATGTGATACACACACATAATGGAATATTATCCAGACTTAAAAAGAAGGCGATTCTGACACATGCTGTGACATGGATGAGCCCTGAGGACAGTATGCTAAGTGAACTAGGCCAGACACCTAAGGACGGTGCTGTAAGATTCCACTTACAAGTGGGTACCTGGAGTAGTCAGTCAGGGAGACAGAAGGTAGGATGGTGGGTGGCAGGGTAGGGGAATAGGCGTTAGTGTTTAATGGGTATAGAGTTTCAGTTTTATAAGATAAACAGAGTTTTAGAGATGGATGATGGTGATGGTTGCCCAACAACATGAATGTATTTAATATAATTGAACTGTACATTTTAAAGTGATTATAATAATCAATTTGGTGTTATTTTACCAAAATTTTAAAAGTACATAAAGTACTTTTGTGTATTTTGCCACAATTTTTTTTTTTTAAAGAAGATAGCACGATGGCATGATTTATAATTCCGAGTCAGCATCTCACAGTACCCTGAGTCTCTTAAATTCAGGGAGCATTTTATGTTCATCTCTGTGCCCCCAGAAAATGGCATGCTGCAGGGCACATGGTGGGTGCCTGTGAGAGTGAGGGATAGGCACGTATGAAGAAATCAGTAACAAAACACACACAACAGCTCCTCCAACAGCCCATTCTCTGGGTGTCAGTGTTAGATACTTTCAAAACTGCTCTTTTTCTTCTCAGCGCTTCCTACCACAGACCCATTTAATGGGCTATAGTCATAATTGAATGAATGATACCCTTGTGCCATGAAAAATAAATATACAGATTCATGCCCAGATAATACCCAGGGAAGCAGCAAAAGCTGATTCATCATTATCTACCCAGCGACCTTGTGAGTGTGAAGAGGGTGGAGACCACTCTGCAGGCAGCATCAGCTGTAGCTCTTGCTGAAGGCAAGGTTTCTCGGATTCTGTTCTGATGGTGCCAGGGGGATGTCTGCTTACTCTCAGACAGTGTGTTTATTAGGTCCTACCTGATCAATATCATTCTGTTAGTTTGGCCACGTTGTAAATTTCCCTTGAAGCCATAAAATATGAATTATCTACAAACCTCTGTTGTACAAGTTAGAAAACAACCTATATCCCCACATTGATAGTGTTCCATCTTAAAACCATCCCAAATCATAGGATTACCTGAGATCTAAAATGTGGGAGGGTAAATTGAATTTGAAGACTGGATTATAGCTACAACCACTTGGCTTTTGAGACAGAGTCTCGCTGTGTCATCCAGGCTGGAATGCAGTGGCGCAATCTCGGCTCACTCTGCCTCCCAGGTTCAAGCGATTCTCCTGCCTCAGCCTCCCGAGTAGCTGCAATTACAGGCGCCCGCTGCCACACCTGGCTAATTTTTGAATTTTTAGTAGAGATGGGGTTTCACCATGTTGGTCAGGCTGGTCTTGAACCCCTGACCTCAAGCAATCCACCTGCCTCCACCTCCCAAAGTGCTGGGATTACAGGCGTGAGCCACCGTGCCCGACCCCACTTGGCTTTCGATTTGTGTCCTGGTTCACTCACAGTGTCACCTTTAGCTTCATTTGTGTGTTCAGAGACAGCATTCAGGCAACATCGTGGTGAGCTGGTTCCACTTTGCCTGTGTATGTTCAGGGTGTGTCTCCTCCACACCTGCCTGTGGCCCCAGGATCTCAGGCAGTCCCTTTGCTGTTGGAGCTGATGGAGAGGGGCATTGTTTCCGGCGGGGATGTAGGAATGTGTCCACACAGCAGAAACAGGGCTTCATTCTCTTTCGATTGCTTCATCTGCTCAGATTTCCTGGACATTATAATAAATAGGCAAAAGTAATAGGTGCTAAGTAGGTTTCTAATTCATGGAAGAAATAGCGAGTAAAAAAGAAAGCACTAAAATGAGGTATCTACCACCCTAAGCTTCCTGGTTACACTCCAAACACTGGCTGCATTTTTCATTTAGACGATTTTGTGGTTGATTTAATCATTTTAGAGAGTACTGGGCCATTTTAAAGCATTTTTCATCTTTAGAGGTAGATTGATTTTGGTTTGTTATTTTTTTTCCCTTGCTCAGAGCTATTACTTGGATAATACATTTTTACAGATGTGTACTAGACCTTGCTATAATGTGCAAAATATTAGTTTCTTATATTCTCTCCTTTTTTACATTAATGTTTGCTGAGAAACCCCTCCTCTCACAGCCAGATTGTCCCACTTCCCCTGCCTACTTGCTCATCTCAGGGGCCGGAATCAGCATCACCTGCTTCTGCTGGAAACATGTTAGAAATGCAGACTCTCAGGCCCACCCCACCCTTTTGATTAAACTTGCATTGGGACAAGAACCACCCCTACTCCCGCCCCTGCAGTAAAGCCATCACTCTCCGCTAAACAATTTTTGATGACTAATAATCTGTGATTTCTAAGAAACTTCCTTTGACAACTTGAAGTTGAGCTCATGGATTTCCCCAGCCCCTCTTATGACTAAACATGAGACTCTGGATAGTCCTGGGCCAAGTGCCACCCGACAGGTTTTTTGTTTTTTTTACTTCTATATTCTGCAAATTATGAATTTACATTACAATTTAATTCTGTGTGATTCCACATTTATGCATTCATTTGCACCTTTCCAGTCATCTCTGTCTTCTATCACAGTTTTCATCCCAGCATACAGCCTTCCCTGAATAGCAGTCTCTGTCCTCACACCAGCTCAGCACAGCCACGTGTGTGAGTTCCCTTCACTACTGCTGGGATCAAAAGGAGTCTCACTGCCTCAGACAGTACACTAGGTCTGTCTGGCCTGTTTCCCAGTTGCCCCATGTCCAATGTAGCTGCAGGCTTTTCTCCCAGCCTCTTCTGTGGGTGCCAGTTCTTCCTGTCAACAGCTGTAATCCACCCTAATACAGGTACCATCTTGGCTCAAAGTAGTCATCTTCTTGTCCCAGCCACCTTTTTATACTCATCCATGTCCACAGCATGCATTAAATGTGTGACAATAGGACCAGTGTGGCAGGCCAGTGCCTTTAAATACAACCACACTTCTCCCTGCTGTATCCCTTCTAGCTACACCAAGGGAATACAGAGCCAGGCTATCCAAGTGATTGGGAGGCCATCAGCAGAATGGGCAAGAGGCAGGCAGACCTGGGTCTCAGTCCCATTCCGTCACTTAGGGGCTCAGTTATTTCAGATGGTTTAATCAATCTTACTAAGTCTCTATTTTTCTCTTTTGCAAAATGCAAGTGATAGGGCCTAACCATTAGAGTTGTATACTTAAGCAAGATAAGAGGTGTAAAACACCTAGCTTACTGTATACCTGAACAGTATGGCAACAGATTTCCCATAAGTGTTTCAAGCCTGAGTTAAATGCTCAACTCTCTGGCGGATTTCTGTGTTTTGCAGGACACCACAGGTGATACAAATAATACAGAGCTAATTCTAATATAGGTCCTGCCCACAGCACATACCGCCCTAGTAGAAGAAACAAAGTAGTATATAAATGGCTGCTCTGTAAGACAGAAGGAGTTCACAGATTTTATGGCTGTTTAGAAAAGGTGTTACGACAGCCATTAAGTGTGGGAGAAATCCACATGGGGACAGGTGGAGGATTTTAATGCAATTATGCATTTGAAACAGACTTTGGAAGGTGGTTAGAATTTCAGCAGGTCGAAATTCATGTGAAAGGCACAATGGCATATGCCAAGGCTTGATGCCATGATTCGATGTGAATGAAGAATTAGGCACCTCTGAGTGTACCGGGGCATGAACTACCAGGTGAATAACACACATGTGCACGCTTAGTCCTCACAGCCGCCCCGCAAACTCAAGCCAGCTCATGGTGCTAAGGATGGAAAGGTTAGTTGGGACCGTTTTGTAGAGGAGCTTTCCCAGTGTGGAGTGCCAGGCAGAGAGCTGTACTTCGGAAGTTTAATCTGAGAATTGAGTGCACGGGGAAGATGCTAAAGGCCTGAAGCCAATTGATTTTATGTACTACTGGCAAGATGTGATGGGGCAAGTGATTTCACTTTGTAGAATCAAACTAATGTTGACTAAAACAAAGCTGTAACACCCTGCTTAGTGAATGTGCAGGGATACAGGTAGGAGTAGAAATTGGTATCATATTTCTGGAGGGTAGTTTGGCATCACTTAACAGCCTCCTTTGAAAATGTTCATACCTGTTCCTCAGCAATTCCACATCTAAGAATTTATTTTAAGAAACTAATTAAAGTTGTTTGCAAAGATGTAGCTTCAAGCATATTTAACATGGTATTATTTACAATAGCGAAATATTGGAGCCTAAACATCCACAAATAGGGGATTTGTTGAATAAATAATCATATACTGTAATACATAGCTACTGAAGTAAGTACTTTTATTAAATAATAAATGAAAATAGGTTACAATAATCTGTTCATATTCTCATTTTGCCTAAATATATGAGAGTATATCTTTAGGAATGTAGATAACTCACACTCAAGTTCAGAAAGAAAAGGTATTAACACGTGACAAGGATTCTGTCAGATTGCTGGGGTTGTGGCCAGCATTTATTTATTTTTCAAATTCACTTGCACTGATTATAACTAGCAAAAGCGTTTTTGTTTTTCAGATGTTAATGCAGCCTTGCACTCAGGTAATGGTTGCAGAAATTAAAATGAGGGTATTGAGTCAAGAAACAGAACAAGTAGTATTTTTAGTGCTTGGAGTTGGAGAAAGCTGGGAGGTGCATGTTTTGAGCCTGTGAACCTGGGGAAGAATTTATTGGATTAAAATGGAGGAGTCAGAAGCAGCAGCTGTTTTGAGGGGGGTGTTGGGTATTGATCATGTTGAGTTTCATATATGAAGAGAGACCCACGTACAAATGTCTAATGTTTGCCCAAAGAGATCACTCTTGGCCCAGTTGGGAAAATAAAAAGGGTCAATTGCAAAGCAATTAAAATAAGACTAAGTGTCTTTTTGGTGTTATGAATGTAAACTTACTGATATTAGTGATATTCTCCATAGGATTTGGTAAAACCCATTGGTGACCTGTGAAAGACTTGGGACTGTAATTTTGATGACTTTGAAAAGAGAAATAACCAGAGCCAGGTTTTCTTTGGTCGCCTTTTGCTGATTATATCCTCACCTGAGTGTGGAGTGCCTAGTCTTATGGTTGTAGGCAGCCCTCAGTGTCCCTACCTTTAAGGAGTCCATCCTGGCCATCTACCAATAATAGCCTACAAATGTCCAGATTTGCGCAGATGGATCAGTTTCCCATAGAGCTGATAATGTGAGTGTCCACACATTCTCACAAACACAGCATTTATCTGTGTCTAGGAATGTGCTGATTTACTCAGAAATACATGAGCCACACACACTGTATATGTGTGTGTGTGTGTGTGTGTGTGTCACAGAGACAAAATATAGTCAGGTATTTAATATTTGGAAGTTTCTCTACCAAAGACTATGTCATCTTAAATGATAGAACTCTGGAAAAATGAATACTTGTTTATGTCACTTCTGACACCTCTGTCTTGAATTAATATCCCTGTGAAATTAATATCCCTGTGACATTATCTCAGAAATTCAAATTGGTGTATATATATATATATATATATACACACACACACACACACCCAGATGTACCTATGTGCAGAAAATGGGCCACCTATAAAGTATAAACTAGGATTTACCATAAGGTAGAATATGACTCCAAAGGTAATACAATTAGCTAAAGCCACTCTTTAAATATTTACATTTTTATATTTTGTACACGTATCTCTTTAAAGATAAAATTCCTTGTGGAAATGCCATTATTGACTTTACAGATATGGAAGTGTTCAAATGAGGTAATATGTAACATTCCCAACACATACCTGGTGCCCAGTAAAGTTCTGCAGTAAGTTTTAAAATTTATTAAATAATCGACAAATCATTGAAGGCATCTTTTATGTCCTTTGTTGACTCCAGATTCCTAAATAAGGAGGATGTCATTTCTTGGGAAGTTCCCACCAGGAAATTTGCAGGTGGGCAAGGTCCTTGGCGCAGAGGCCAGTTTCTGCATACAGATTTATATGCACACATGTGAAAGCCAGTTTTTACAATATAGAGGTATTGCCCCCACCTTTTTTCCTGCATTTTATTGATTCTTTGATCGTATTGGCCGTGCACTTCATTTCGCTCTGTCTTGGCTTTAATAGAGGAGTGGTACTTGACACAAATGTTTCTCAAGGGACAATTGTAAGTATTAATTAGTTTGTAGAATGCCTTTTGAACTGTGCAGATGAAAGGCCTTACGTAAACGGCAAATGTTATTTGTGGTGTTGTTGATCTCATTATGTGTTTTTTGGCTGCTAGTGTCTTTTAAGACACTGCAATCTTCACTTCAGAATTTTAAAACATTTCCTTTTGAGACAAAATATGGTCAGATATTTAATATTTGGAAGTTTCTCTACCAAAGAATATGTTATCTTAAATAATAGAACTCTGGAAGAATGAATACTCGTTTATGTCACTTCTGACACCTTTGTCTTGAATTAATATCCCTGTGAAATTATCAGAAATTCACATTACTCAGATCCTGCAAGTAAAGCTAATTTAAAAGTTGCCTTTTCATGGGCCACTTAGGAGACTGTTGACTTTTCAATGCCAGTAAAAGAATTCGGTTATTTTTAACTCTTTTCTAGGGCAGTGGATCTCAACCAGGGGCAGTTTTGCCCCAGAGGACATTTGTCAGTGACATTTTCGGTGGTATCATTCTGGGAGTGTGCTCCTGGCATCTATGCAGTAGGGCCCAGGGATACTAGCAAACCTCCCACAATGCCTGGGGCAGCCCCCAAAATGAAGACGTATCCAGCTCAGAAGGTCATCAGTGCTGAGGTTGGGAAAGTCTTAGACTACACTCAATATAGAATGTCCTTAATTCTTCTTCAAAAACCGAAAGTTTTCTCCTAGTTTTGCTGCATCTTGTGATTTTTTTTTTTAAATCCTGCCTCCTGGATCTCTCTGTAGGTTGGCATTGTGGGAAGAACTGGAGCTGGAAAAAGTTCCCTCATCTCAGCCCTTTTCAGACTGTCAGAACCCGAAGGTAAAATTTGGATTGATAAGATCTTGACAACTGAAATTGGACTTCACGATTTAAGGAAGAAAATGTCAATCATACCTCAGGTATGCAAGTCATAGCGTCCTTACCTGCCCCTTTTATAAGAGCTACTATGTTTAATTGCTTTTACTTTTATTGCTTTTTTTTAATTGGATGAAAGGATTTTTTTTTTTTTTCCACCCAATAGAGCATGTTTTTATGAGCGATATTTTCAACAGGTATTTTCATTAGATATCTGGCTTTGTTCGTGTGTGTGTGTGTGCGTGTGTGTGTGTGAGAGAGAGAATAACTTACCCAGATAGGTTTCTATACTAAGATGCCACAGTTTTATCCACTGATAACCATAAAGAACAAAATGATGCATGGTTTGTTTAGCACTGGGGAGGTTTCTATGGGGAGATGTGGATTTTAAGTGTCTTAATGTTGGAATTTTGCTGTAGGAACTAAAGCTACCTTCTCAAAGGTGATTACCTCCGTGAAGGGCTTTCTGTGAAACTGTGGGCTGTGAGAATTAAAAAACTTATAGTTGCTTTGTGGTGACTTTTAGAATCTAGCTCTTGGTGAATGATTTTAACTGGGAGGTTGTTGCAGAATAACAAGGAAGAACATGAGAGAAGGAATTCCATCTGTCTGCACTTCATCTTCGTCTTTCTTACTATCACTGTTGTAAGAGTGCGTGTTGTTCTTCACACAGACCCAGTGAGTGTTTGCTCTGATGGTGGAGGGTTAAATTGGCCATCCCTTTCTGGACTCTGATTCTATTTTCTTTTCTTCTCCTTTGCAGAAGTGTGACTCTCAAGGAATATTCTAGAGATTGGATTCTTTGTACAATAAGAGTTCCTGTCATTGCTTTGGTTCATATTTAACATAAATTCAGAAAGTATTCATTGAGTAATTACTATTCTCCAGGTGTATAGGCATGAGCAACATAGACCTTGTCCAAGCTGGCGTGGGGTCTGCAGCTGTGGGACCTCGTGGCTTCCATTGGGCCTCACAGTTCCATCCTGTCCTTCACTTTAACATTTCCGCATATTCAGCTCCACACATGACTGGGTTGTTTGTTTTCTTTTAATGTGGGGTTTTTTTTTTAAACACTCTGTAGTCATTGGGGGGGAGCTGAGGAGCACACACACACACACACACACACACACACACATATTCTGGAGAAGAGAAACACAGGAGACAAGAGTAAAACCCAGGCAGAAGTGAACTTTCTGGGCATGTGGAAATAAACAACTCTTCAATGTCCATTGATTAGGAAGCATAGAGAACATGCCACTGGAAGGGAAGGAGAATGTGATTTTTATCTTAGACCAACTACAGTTATGGCTATCCTAGCACTGACCTCTAAAACAATTGGAATTACTCTTAAGTAATTTTGAGGATGTGAAGAAATTGGAACCCTGTGCACTGTTGGTGGGAATGTAAAATGGTGCAGCCACTTTGGAAAACAGTATAGAGTTCCTCAAAAAATGAGAGCTAACGTGATCCAGCAGTTCCACTTCCAGAAAGAGTTGAAAGCAGGATTTCAGAGTTTTGTACATCCATGATCATCATGGTACCCAAAAGGTGGAAATAGTTCAAGTGTCCGTCACCAGATGAGTGGATGAACAAAATGTGGTCCATCCATACAATGGGGAATTATTCAGCTTTAAAATGGAAGGAAATCCTGACAGTCTGTAATGCAGATATACCCTAAAGACATTATGCTAAGTGAAATAAGCCAGTCACAAAAGGACAGACACTAGATGGTTCCCCTAATATGAGGTACTTAGACTAGTCAAATTCACAGAGACACAGAGTAGAAGGGTGGCCACCAGGGGCTGAGGGAAGGTGGGGGATAAGGAGTTACAGTATTTCACAAAGGACTTCGGTTTTGTCAGATGAAAGGCATCTTGTGAATGGATGGTGGTGATGGCTACAAAACAATGTGAATGTCTTTAAGATCACTGAAATGTTTGCTTTGAAATGGCAAAAGCGATAAATTTTATGCTATGTGTATTTTACCACAATTTTTATTTTTAATTTAAAGAAGAAAAAGTATCCCTTTCAGGATAAAATGGGAAGAAGTGTTTAGCACGTTAGATTCCCTCTGGCTATTAGAAGCATGACTTAGTGCTTACAGTAGAAAATGAGAGTATAAATTCTCAAGTTTTATATTTTGGTTATGCCCATCTCAAAAATGGGCCAAATGAGGTTTTCTCAGCAGAGATAATGGGCATGTCTGTAAAGTACTTTCATATCCTTGGATGAAAGGTTCTAGGAACGTGCCCTGCATTACTTTGAATGCTTCTTAATAAGAAATAGTTGTGTGCTTGTGTACATAAAAGAACTCTAAATAAAGAAGTAACATTAGATGATTCTTGGCTCTGCCAGTAATGTTTTGGAAGCACATCTGAGCAAAGACTAAATATACCTTGACATCACCAGGTTTTGGTTCAGTTCCATAAGTTTCCACCCTACTTTTGAGCAAATACTCTATGTATGTAGTCCAGAAAGCATGCTTACAAAACACTGCTAAGCTTTGTATCCATGTAGATCCTGATCTCCAAGCATTGTAAACATAGAAGCTTTCTTTTTTAACTTTGTATGGCTTTGTCTCCAAGGCTCAATGTTGGTTGAAAAAAAGTAACATAGTCTAGAGCGACTGTGCAATGCTTAATATGACCCAGGAAATCATTCAGCACACTACCTGGGATAGAATCTTTCAGAGCATCTTCTAAGCGTTAACGCGACCCACATTTTTATTCCAGCACTGCCTAATACAAGTGTGACCTCAATGAAGTCACATAACCTCCAAGCTTCAGTTTCCTCATCCTTAAACCAAGCCTAGTAATTACTAACTCACAGATTTGCTGTGAAGACTTTACTGGATGAGAACATGTTTGTGGTCCTACTCTGGGTTCTGAGGAATGCTCAATAAATAGTAACTATTTCTAATTAAGGATTGGGGTAGAGGCCTTTAGGGTATTATTGCTACTCACTATTCTAGAAGGACTTGGCTCATTAACTTCTGTTTCTATTTTTGTGATCCTTGGTGAATTCCTTTAACCAAATTGTTTATGTAAATTTAAATAGTGAAGCAGCAACAAACAAACAAAAAATGCACAATAAAAACCTAAGAGAGAAATCTAATGTTTTTTTCACAAGGAACAAAAGGTGAGGATTGCTTTGTTTTCTGGCTTTCCCCCACCCCGGTCTTAGTGGCATTCCTGACCACTGTCAGTACCCCACTAATGCTTTGCATTTCCTGAGCAGGCAACTGACACTGGTTCTCAGCCCTGCGTGAGAACAGGGGCTTGTCCCTCTTAGATCCAGTGCTTTAGTGATAGTTGCGTGCAGACAAGTTACACAGGTAGTGAGAATTCCTGACATTTGCGGAATCCGTAACATGGTTAGCTTCTTTCCTTACCATCTCCCACTTCATCCTCACAGCAATTCTGTGTCATCTTCATTTGACATATTTTCAAACAGGCACAGAGAGCTTAACCCACTTAACTAAAAGTAAACAGCAGAGCCAGGATTCAAATGGAATTTACGGCAAATCCCATATGCCAGATCCTGAGTTCCTGAACCCTCTCCTAGGGACTTTAAACCCATGTTGGCTGGCGCAATCCCTGTTTGGAACTCTGCTTTGCAGCATGATTTAGTGTGGGCTTGTGCAGGTGCACACACATGCACAGAAACAAAAGTCTCACAACACAATATTACTCCATGCTTCTACGCCCTGATATTTTCTATTATATCCATTCTATTCTGGTTCATATAAAAGACATAATGATGATCACGAGCCACAAAAGTGATTTCATGATCCATTGGTTGCACCTGCCATTTGAAGAACAGCACACCTCACTGTCCTGCCCTGCTTGGCCAGGCTCCTGCTGCCTGGCAGCACCATGCAAGGAGACTCATGACATAGTGATTGTCACTGCGGCCCTGTGGGGTGTATCAAGTTAGCTCCATTCTCCAGGAAGGAAACTGAGGCTCGGGGAGATTCATAACTTATTTGGAGATGAATAGTTAATAAGTAGTAGAATCAGAACTCAGAATTATCCAACTCAATTTTTTTTCAGTAAATGTTTGTTGGACAGCATGATTTCTCATCAAACATTTTACTCATTCTTTTTCTTTTCTTTCTTTCTTTCTTTTTTTTTTTTTTTTTTTTTTTGAGACAGAGTCTCACTCTGTTGCCAGGCTGGACTGCAGTGGCGCCATGTCAGCTCACTGCAATCTCTGCCTCCTGGGTTCAAGCGATTCTCCTGCCTCTGCCTCCCGAGTAGCTGGGATTACAGGTGCGTGCCACCACACCCAGCTCATCTTTGTATTTTTAGTAGAGACGGAGTTTCACCATGTTGACCAGGATGGTCTTGATCTCCTGACCTTGTGATCTGCCTGCCTCAGCCTCCCAAAGTGCTCATTGTTTTTCTGTCTACCCAACTTAAAAAAGGTTCCCAGAAACCATAACCAAAGAGAGCAAATATGCAGCAAAGTCAAAAGATATCTTTTCTTTGTGTCATTTGGACAGTTAGGCCATTTTGAAAGACTAAATTGTTTGTCATTTATTTTTATTTTTATTTTTTCCAAAACCTTAAGTGACGCTAAGCACTAAAAGAAAATCATTTTGGAAACAGAGTGTATTGACTTATGTGTCATGGGCTAATGAGCATTAGAAGATCCTCTAAGCCTTACCTTGTGGGAGCTCAGAGTCCTTTGTCTTCCAAGGCCTCACTGGCTGCAGAGGGTGGAGAAGGCTGGAGACTTGAGGGTACATGAAGGTTACTGGTCTGCAGTGCAGAAAGCATACGCCCCTCATCCTAAAAAATAAGTGGAAAGCCAAATGGCTTGTGTCACCACACCCTGATATAGGGAATCTAGGAAGTTCGGAGCAAACACAGGAAAAGCAGAACCAAGTGCTGTTTCTTTGAATGGCCATGTTTAGGCGAGTCTGGCCTGCGTGGCTTCCCGGGTTGTGTGGAGCACGAGTTTCTGTGTTCTCTCCCTTCCTGGCTTATCCCTTTCATTTATGGCTCAGGGTCCTCTGTCACTCTTGACCACACCATGAGCA